AAACAGTTGTGTTATGACGGTAATGTGAAATAGATAATTATATAAATTTAGCTCAAATTTCATTAATACAAATTGAAAGCGGAGAATACAGACATTAAGACATTCACAGTCATTCAAAAACATTGGAAGCGAGTCATATACTTTTTTTAGCATTAGCACTTCCTGTTAACCGGTTACAATTCCTCCTTGTCATAGAAGCGTTTTGCCAATCGTCGTACTAGAACCTGGGAGTATTTGTTTGCATGGTTGTAACATGTGCACACTCGTTAAAATATAAAAAAATCCTGTCCCACTCGTGAAATAAATGTCGTATTCAACTACAAAACATTGAATATCCTCTATCTAAACACTTAATTGACGACGGTTTTTACCGTTATTTCTCGATCATGACAAGAAGCTCACGGTGGGGGTGACCGATCAGAAGGGGATGCTCACTTGCACCTCCATGGCACCTGATCCCACCTCTGATGTTTCGGATGTCCGTGTTTGCTATTTTCCTATTTTGTTTTGTTTTTATGGATATTGAATACTATACCATTATGGACTCTTTTGGCTTCGCCTCGGTCAATATGAATATTTTTCTGGTGAATAACAAACCACATTCAACACCAAAAGAGTCCATAATTGTTTATTATATAGTCGGGAATTGAATAGATAAGACATTGAAGGCTGCATGATGACAACATTTTCATTTGCGACCTTCCATTGCTGAAAATGAAAAAAAATCTCCAGATTACTGTTTGTAAGCTCCGTGTTTTCCTTTCAGAGTTCTGCTATGTGTAAGACGTCCAAATTTTAAAAGATAATCCTGAAATAGGTTTGAAAAATTGTTTTCCTGCTCAGGTACTTAGCTCGCTCCGGCCGTTGCAACCATTGTTTACAATTGTTCGATGTTTTGATTGTGACGTCACAATGCCGTTGCAGGCGCATTGACCCTCCGGTGAATACGGCCTAAAATCCGGTGAATATGTCGTGTTATGAACTGTTTGCGTTTGTATAGATTATATAGGGACTATAAATAGACTATATGATAATGTTCGTTATCTCTATATCCTTCATGTGTAAAAAGTTGAAAAGTCGTTAAGTTTTAAAACTATTGATCTTTGTAAAAACGATTAATGTCAACTATTTTAGGGACATTAAATTCTTCAAGATATTCTTTAAGATGCAATTTAACATCAAATAAAATACAATATGAAAGTTAAAAATTCAAAATAATTATGATGAATTTCAAATTAACACCATGTCCCCTCCAATAAACTGCAATTTATATGCAAATTTTACCTTTTACAGATTCCTACAAGACGATGGGGAAAGAAAAATATTTACGATGAGAAATATTTTCGTGCAATTTCATGTATATAAGTTTATCCTTTAACATGAAAAGAAAATATAAAATTCTTTTAAAAGGCATAGGGCACTGTTGTATTTTGTATCCAACAGGGATTTTGCATGACTCATGATCACATTTGATTGTGTATCAAACAACTCTGTTCGCCCTAGTGCTGTCACACTTTGAAAAAAATTGCTTAAATTAAATACAATATGAAACTTAAATTCAAAATAATTATGATGAATTTCAAATTAATATTTTAGCGTGTCCCAGAACTTTCAGTATCTTGTTTCAACAGTTAAGTTTAATGCAAAAACAAAATAGCTAACATTATCTGGAATTTAATCATGGACTGCAAAGTCAAAAGTTTTATGAAAAAATAGCTATTTCATTTAATTTTGAAGATTATGAGCTTCATACCACATTTGACTACAAAATACGTAATGTTTTTCACGAAGCAGTTTTTCTACAAGAAAAGTTTTCAAAATTCGTTTTTTCATCTTTTACCTCACATATAATTTTAAAAATCATCTTAACAAATAAATCTCCATATCCGACAGAAACATAACGTCCGGTTACAAGAGTAATTTGTTTGCTAAAATAGGTGAATAAATAAAATTTGAAATAGATCTTACCAATCAATTTTTTATTTTTTACAAGAAATATGTGTTGTAGACTTGAAGTCCCCTAGTTGATTTTATTTCCTTTATTTCCTCAAGACTTTTCCCCAGAAGTCTATATAAAAGTGTAGTTTTTCCAGCTCCAGCACATCCTACCACGATTCCTCGAGCATGACGAACCACTGTAGTTCCTTTTTTTATATATGCCATAAATTTTTGTGGGGAGATTGTTTCTAATGTTGACTTAAATTTGTCCAAAATATCTGTGAGGCGATGCCCTATATGTTCATCAGAAGAAATGCATGTAGAACAGACAGGAATGTCACATTCTGAACAGTAGAGCTTACAATATGAATTGGTGTGGTTTGGACATTTAGGGTTTATATGAGTTCTTGTTCTGTTTTTGTATGGGACAACCTTGTGTCTTTTTGAAGAATCACATAAATGCTCCCCTACACAGGCTCTACACAGGGATATTTGACAAAGTTCGCAATGACTTTGTAATGGAGCTCTCTGACACAGGTCACAGACAAGGAGAATTTGAGCACGGTCAAGAGGATCCATGATACACAGACTGTAATGAAAATTAAACATTGTGAAACACTATGTGCCTGGCATTAAAGTTCGAAAAAAGCATATTTAGCATATAGGTCCGGTCGAGGTTACAAGGTGATTGACCTTGAAATCATTTGTAAGAACACAATTAGTAGAGTATGCATACCAAAAATGAAGTCTTAATTAAGACAAACAGACAAACAAACAGACAGGACAAAAATATACGCCCTTAATTTTCTATCGATCGAGGTGCATAAAGAAAAATAATAAAACCACAGACACAGACACCCTCACACACCCTTATGTGTACAACTGTATTTCTCAATACATGATGTTATACACCTGTAAGTCACTATACTGTAGTATGTTCTTGCAATGTTGGCAAGATAAACAAATCATATCTATTGATTTTAGAATACTGAAATAGGATTCTAAAAATATGCATTTTAAAATAACGAAGAATGATGTTTCACCAGAAATTCACTACATTACACAGGCAATTGTGCCTAACGTCAATTTAACATGAAAATAACATTAATTTAACGTTACATATTTAACGTTAAATTAGGTCTTAATTGAGCTTATACATGAATTTAACGTTAAGAAATTTAACGTTAAATTGATGTTATTTTTATGTTAAATTAACATTAAGTGTTAAATTAATGTTTATTAGTTCATACTTATTTAACGTTAAAATGCATAAAAGTTGTGTGCATATTATTGGAATTTTCCTTCCTATTCTTCCAGAAAAATACATGTTATTGCAGCATAGAAGAAGCTTAACTGATACTACATGTATTCATAATCATTTCTCTAAAAGTACACCATAATATTTTGAAGCTAATCAATGTTGCACGTTTCCTTTTAGCACTGCAGAAAGCTAAACTTGCATGTTGACTTCATCCTTGGTGTCACTTCTTTTCAATTTGAATATATCTAAAAGGGTAAAGGGACCCATAAGCTCTTTCTAAAAATACCTAAAATTATGAGCGTTGCCTCTGATTTCAACTTTTCTAAAGAAAAGAAAAACACCAATTACTCATCCAATTAATACTTTTAATCAGGCATCTTTAATACAATGCTACAAATCTTCTTTCTTTTTTTTCCAATCTGAAATACATGTATTAAAACAATTATTTAAAAATAAAATACTTTAAAACATGATCAATACATAAACAATTAACTTAATTTGTCTAAATTTTACTGAAACAAAAGGTCTGTGGGCCACATTGCTCACTCAGCACATTGGCTAGTTAAAAAACACAAATTAGCTAAGTATTGAAAAGCTAACTTACTGCGGGGGGGGGGGGAGGTGGATTTGAATTTTCTATAACTTGAGAATATCATTATTTCAATACAGCATACATGTATAATTTTGCCATACTTGAAAAGAAGATTCTCAGCTATGTTAAGGAATGTCAGAGTTCACATTTCTGGTACATCGTATTGGAAGTTTAATTATGACGTCATGAAAATTTAACATGCCACAAAAAAATTAAGTAACGACATGATGATGGTAAATAATAATATGAATTTATTTATTTTTTCAATTATTTATAAAATCTTGTGAGCAATACAATCGAGTAATAGAAGAAAGTCTTTCGTAAAATATGACGTCATCAGCCTTGACATGACGCAGCACAATCGATCCAGAGGATTAAATACACTGATTTAATAATTAGAAGAATGATAAAATGAATATGATATCATTGTTTTTCATTTTTTAAACCTAATCATTAAAACTAAAAGAAAATAATTCAGTAAATACAGTTTGTATAGAATATGAATTTATCAAGTAGCATTGAAGCTACACAGGGCCAAGGAATGTAGAAATTATCGCTAAAACGATAAGCGGATTCCTGATTTACATCAAAAGTTTAAGGGCATAAACCTTTTCGTTTCAGCTGAAATATGGAATATTTATTGCTTATACAGTGTATATTTTGAAAAGTGCTGGGAGTTTATCCTGATCTGCATAACATTATTTTTATTTATAACAGAATTCAAGCGAAGTGGGAATTTTAGCTATTATACAACTTTTCGGCAAAGTTTTCAGTACTTCCAAAACAGCACAGACTAGCTCCCAGCACTTTTTGAGCTCACAGGAAGGTCAAAAATATGTCAATTTTCGAATTTTCTCTTTGTATGCAAATTTTCTTCGATTTAACGACACATTTCGTTTCAGAAAAACATAGAGCTCAAATTTACAGATCTACAGAGTTTATACATTTCATATACTAATATTTACATTTCCAATGCCTTTGTCCGATTTAGAGTTTCAAATAGTTAATGTACTTTATCTCCTCATAAATTTACTGGTTCATCGATAGGCGAAATAAAAAAAAATCAAGTACAAGGCGGAACAAATATACGAAAGACGAATAGGGCAACATAAAAAAAATATTTTTTATCTCGTAATTACGAGATCTTTTCTCGTAATTACGAGAAAAGATCTCGTAATTACACAGTCGTTTCTCGCAATAACAAGAAAAGATCTCATTATTACGAGATAATGTCGTTATTACGAGAAAGATCTCGTTATAACGAGAAAAGATCTCGTTATAACGAGTTAATTTTCTCGTTATAACGAGAAAGATCTCGTAATTACGAGTTAATTATCTCGTTATAATGAGAAAAGATCTCGTACATGTATTGTCTTTATATGACGCCACGCCGCGTAAAAACACACAGTGTAATATCAAAATTACACAAGTAATATCAACCGGATATAACTACCCACATTAAAAAAAATGGCGTTTCATTGCATTTTTTCATTTAATTCTCATATTTCATGTAAACAAAATACTGAGTTAAAATCGATAATACATACATTGTACAACCCCCAAACAACAACAACAACAAACAAACAAATACAAAACAGAAACATATGTTAACTAATAAATTCAATAAAAATATTTACATTATTTGAAATAACTCCTATTGTCTAGATATAATAAAAAATTAGCTTTTTAAAGAAATATCTTGTGTGTTAACCATAAATAAAAACTATAAGCTTGTGTATATGATTACTTTATTTTGTTCTTTTAAATATCTGACATAATTTTTGAGAATGGAAAGAATACCAGAATAGTAAAGATAATTAACTCGTTATAACGAGATCTTTTCTCGTTATTACGAGAAAAAAATATTTTTTTATGTGGCCCTATTCGTCTTTCGTAAAAAAAGCTGGACAGAAGTAGGGCTTAGAGCACGTGGATTGGCAGAATCAAAGTCATGAGAATATAACAAACTAGAAACAAATTGACACAAGCTTCAAAAATCGACCGCAAACCAATTAATCGATTCTTTCATGAAAAAACTAGAAACTAATCTCTTGCATTCATCTGTTTATCAATTTATACCTGTGATACTAAACATTTGAATGCGGCATTTCAGGATTTTCTTCAGTACATAATACATGTTCATTACTAGATGAACAATGTATAGCAAATTAGTCATAGTCCTCTGCGTCCCCGCACTCAGTTTAATTGGTACAGACGAACTCTGGTGGAAGTTTGATGTTAAAGTAATTTTACATTTAACCATTTAAACTAACTTTTGAATTTACCTAACTAGAAATACAGCTGTAGTTTAATTTTAATTAAACGTGATAATTATATGGGTCTCCTCTCTCGCTCAGAGGATGTTAAAACCCCAAACTCTCTCTAGATCCGCCACCACATTTCTTTTCTATCTTGTTTTGGTGTGAGATGAAGCGGGGAAAAGGCTTGGTATATTGTATAACACGCTTTATCCTTGTCTGTTGAAAAAAAAATCTCCTAATATTCCGTCTGATAATAAATTAAGAATTAGTCATATTTTTGAAAATTTTCCCTATCATGTGTACATTGTATATTTACATTTACGTGTCATTTAAATTATATATACAACAAATCCTGTTGAAGCAGAGAAAGCAAGGCCTAACTAGCATTGAGGCAAGTGAGGCAAATGCTTCAATAAACTTTGAGTTTTCTGAAAAGTGAATAAAGTTTACTGAATTATGATCTATTTTAACGCAATATTATCAACATTCCTCTTTGTTCATGTGGAAAGTATGAAGATGTTTACCATTATTTTTTTGCATGTATAAAGTATGCAAATGCTAGAAACAATCTTTTTAACCACCTATTTATGCTAGAAGAATTAGTTACAATTGACACTAACCTGTTATTATGGGGTGATATAGATTTGCCTGTATCAACTAATATTAATATTTTTGCTGCTGTACATAGATTTATTACTGAAACATGTAGATTTAAAATTGATTAATGTTATTAATTAACTTGCATCACTTGAAAATTATTATAAATACTATATTTTAATGTATTATTTGCATGACATATTGTTATATTTATGGAGAGGAACTAGTAAGTTGTAAGCTTGTTTCCAATCCATTTGATTCGTCAATAAAATATGTTCAAAACAATAAAGTTTTACATTGAACTTATGAATTATGTGTGTCTTCGTGCCAAATTAGGGAACGACAATTTGTTCCTGGGGGGGGGGGGGGCTTGCAATTTTTTTTGAGACGGATTATTTATTTTCATGCCTGTCAATGACATTATTTTTTTCATGATTATCAAGGACAGATTATTTATTTTCTTCTATGTCTTACAGTACATTGATCAATTGATTCTAAAAGACTTATCATTTATAAACCATATTTGGATACAGGATTTGGGGAGGGGATAGATATAACTTTGTTTAGGCAAGAGGTCTGGGGCCGCCGTAAAGGTCCCAGTGGGTCCTGGGCGAAGCCCTGGTGGAGGCCAAGGAAGTACACCCCCCCCCCCACCCAACCCCCGAAGCTCTTTGGGTTTCGTGTATTTTAAGAGTAAAACCAGGCACTTTTATAGTGGTATTGGTTATTATGAACCAAAGAATAACATAATTAATACTGGTCATACCGTACTTTGAATGAAGTAAGTTCAGGGAGCAAACCACCTGAAGCTCTTGGGTTTTTAATATGTACATGTATAAGAGTAAAACTTTTGTAGGAATTGGTTAGA